AATTAATAATCTATTTTCTCATTAAATTCATTTATAAAATAGAATAAACATTTTCAAAAATAAAAACAACTAATTCTACTTCGTCGTAACTTACCCATTAATTCAGCAAATCCACCAACAGGTACACGACAAGTACCAGTTACAAATTGCAACAATCTAGCTCTCTTTTCGCTATCTGTTCTCGTTACAAACTAAAATATAAACAGCATACATTTGAATATAATGTTGGACATAATTATGATAAGTGATATAATAAAATTATCATACCTGCCAGAACCATAAGATTTGTTTACTGTTACGAGTATAATGTCTATAAATAGTATTGCGTTGCCAATCTTCAACATCTATTTCTTGCATACCGCAAAGCATAAGCTCCAATTCACGTTCATCAAAATATTTGAGCCATTCAAGTGGGACAACTGAATTGAAGCCTTCTAAAAATGCTTTCGTTTGTTCCTCTATACCTCTTGTCATTCTCCACTCTGTCATCAACCTATTGAATGATCAGGATTCAAAAATTATCTCTTACTCATGTATATGTATAAATATATCTTTCTTCTTTTATAACTATATGTCTAATAGCGAATTTGGTTTATTGCAATACAACGGATTAGTGTACATCAAAGACTGCTACATATGAAATATCTAAATGTAATAGCCTAATATTACTTCTTTGAAAATGAAATTATTAACTCGTATTCAGCTAAATAATACGACAAATTCATTATTGACTATTTATATAATCATTTTGAAATGTTTATGTATTTTTACATTTCAATAATTTCATCTATATCAGCGTTTAGTATACTAACCCGGTATAGTGCAGTAAACTGAAATTACAATTGTTTTTGTTAAAAAAAAAATATATACCTGATATATTCTTCTTTATTGTCTTCACCTACTCTAACTTTATCACCACCTTCTTTTAACTCATGATGTATTACTTGACCAAGGATCTCAAAATCCACACTATAAAATAATTCTAGGCCACATTCATCGATGTTATTTTCTTTTATCCATACAAGGGATTTGTAGAACTCCGGATCGATAGATTCTATATCCTTCATTACTAATTTTTTATTCAACATGCGTTTATAAAATGGCATTGTAAATCCACTATATATAAATCGACCATGATAAAGAGCCTGTTGAAATTAAAAAAAAAAAAAAAAAAAAAAAAAAAATAAAGAATTTGTACTTAATTTTCTTCATATAAATGTAGAAAAACGTAGAAAAAAGAAACATACCATTGCAATAAATCTTCCTATAAATTTGAAATACTGCAAATGGTCAGGATTAACATATGATGCTGGATTTATTTGTAAACTATAATTGCTTTTATTGGCATACTCGAATAGGCAATACATCGGATTTAAGACTTCATGACTCAATAAGAAAAACCATTCCCTGCAAATTAAAACCATTTAATTTTTCCACCATATCAACAAATATATACATTCTTTTATTATGTTTGTAAGTCATACCTAGATACACCTCCATAGTCCAGACCTTCCTCTCCTTTAAATATTATATATAATCGCCGTCGCAACGCAAAAGCTTCCGCGTTCATTATTTGATGATAAGAATCTTCAAATAATGTCTGCCGACTAACACTAATCTTGATATGGTTAGGCAGCGCATTAGTCTGGCATAAGAATCGGAACTGAGACAACTTCCATCGGAACGATCTTTCGTATGCCCTTGGGACACGATATACACCTTTTGGTCTGTATGAGAAAAGTAAAATACATAATTTTTATTATGTATTATACGCGTGCAGCTGGACGCAATATATTTGATACTGACCCTTTGGGTGCACCAGGTCTTGGATCCTGAAATGTTGTTGTACGAGTGTTATGATCTACAAAATATCGAACCCCGTCTTCCGTTAACCGTATTTCCCAGCCATCTGGTAACGGTGGTTCGTCCATTCCAGTTTCTTGACCTTGCGTTCGAGGATCCTCCCATTGCGTAGTCCGGTTCTTATGATTTACATAATAAACTCTTCCTTCCGGTTGTTTTCGTTTTTCCCAACCAGCCGGTAATGGTCCTAGAGCATCATCATCGTCAGCTGTAGATGTTGATGGAGCAGCAGACATTTTACCACTGTGATTTGTATAATATATATAAATTTTAATTGGTACGTAAATTTTAATTAGTAATCTATTTAATTATGTTTCTTTATTATTACTAATAAACTTAAAAATTAATTATATATATATATATATATATATATAATTTCTCTCTTCATAATTCAATCAATTTGATTACCTGAGGATAAAGAAATCTTTGATTGCCTTGTTGAACGACATATTGTCTTTCACCTTGCCAATGTTGGAAATGTTGTAATCTTTCTGTACTTGGCCTTTGCCATGTGGTGCTTCTTGTATTATGATCAACGTAATAAATTCTACCTCTTGGATCTCGACGAACTTCCCATCCAGGAGGTAATGGCTGAGGCCTTTCCCAAGACGTGCTTCGGGTATTGTGATCGACATAATATCTGACAGCATCAAAAAAAATACAAGATAGAGATAAAAGTTAATTTTGCGAAATTTAGGTATGTATCGCGACAGATTACCTTCTTCCATACAAATCGTATCTCATTTCCCAACCTGGCGGCAAAGGTTCCTCGGAATGATTGATATCTTCAGTAAGTAATACAGAAGATCCCGATTGCGTCACAGACTGTCCAGGCATGGATGCAGCAATTGATTGACTTGGTAATGAAGTCGCATTCTGCGGAACTCGTGGCATGCCGGAGCGAGGATCTGGTAACGTGGAGGACGTGTGTTCTACAATGGGAATTGTTCGTCCGTCAGTGAGAGGAATCACTGTTGATTGTTCTGATCGGAGAACCACAGCACGACCGTCCGTCAGAGAAACAGTTGTGTTTTGTTGACTACGTGAAACTCCACGTAAATCTGTTAGTGGCGCTGCACTTATTGATTGTTCCGCTCGTGGAGTTCGCAAATCCTCCTGCAGACGAACGCTAGTAGATTGTTCTGGCTGTCTTATCACGCGCAAATCTTCATTAACACGAACACTTGTGGACTGCTCGGGCTGTCTCATTCCTCGTAAATCTTCAGTTACACGAATGTTTGTAGATTGTTCCGAATGTTGTCTCGTCGTGCGTTGATCCTCATTGGTCATACTCATTCGTCGAATATTCGTAGATTGATCTGCTTGTCTCGGTCCACGTAAATCATCTGTTAAAAGAATATTCGATGATTGTTCTGATCGTGTCATTATGTGATCGTCTGGAAGAGCCGCAGCAATTGGTTGTTCTACTCGCACGGTACTAATAGCACCGCCACACATGTCCACGTGCGATGATACATTCGCATCCGTTTGAGAAGCACTGGGACTGTCCACATTAGGAAGCATCGATTGATCTTGTCGCGATATTCCACGGACATCCGCGCATATCTGCTGTCCGGATATCATCAAAGAAGATTGTTCCACTATTGATCGCGATGGACGTGAATCCGTCTTGACCATTGCAGGTTGATCCACGTTGCTGTAATTGCTCCATGTATATGCTCGCCCCTCCGATGAATTGGACGACATCGACGATTGTTCTTTAACAGTCGATCTACCTGCGAAAGTTCGTATGTCTGTCGCATGCTTGTTTCCTGGTGACATTATAGATTTGTCCGCCATTGGAATAGCGTGTCCATTCACCGAACTACACGCGGGAAGGTGCATACTAGGACTACTTTTGACATTAGGATTACTTGATGTTGGAAGCAGTAGACCATCTGTATTTGAGATCGTGGTAGAAATGTTTTTGTTGCTGTTTGCTTGATGGTTTCCACCATTATAATTGGGGCTAAGGCGAATATTTGTCAGATGATATACCGATGGTGCAAGATTCTCTGAGCTATGTAATCTCATACGTGCACGAACTCCACCGTTGAGAATACTTCGGTTATTGATTGCATCATTTGTGGCACCTAATACAATTTAATATGTAATAAAGAAAAAAAAATAAATATTCTTGACAAATATTTTCAAATAACATATATTTAATATTTTTAGTTTGAACAAATTACTGTTATAAATATAACATTAAATAATCTTCAAACTTGATATGCATTAATTAATATTATAACATATTAACACAATAACATTTTTCTTACCATCAGATTGTATTTGGCAAGATGGTTCACTAGTATCATTCACTGGTATTTCATTAGTGGTATCGATTCTAAGTCCATCAAATACAGTAATCAATTCACCAACTTTGCACAGTTGGGAATCATGTTTACTCTCACTCATTAAATCAAATGTTAATTCTAAATTTTCTAGTTTTCCATTATAATGTGATAACACTTGAAATAAGTTTATCCGTTTCTCTCCTATTAATGTGTCTTTGCGAAATGTGCTATGATCAAGTAATCGAAAATGTAACTGTGAATATGGCGTAACAAGTATAGTAAATTCTTCGTTCCATTTTGGTTGATACGTGGACTTTGACACTTCCGTTTTACGAGGACTTTTATCATCAACTGAGAATTCTATATATGGATTAGGCTTTAAAAAAGTTGAACTTCTCAGTATTGCTGCTTCAACTAAAATAAGTAAGTATCATTATTAGTATAAATAAAACAATAATTTAACTCTAATTATGCTATCTTTATAGTTTATAAAAATAGTTCTAAATCATTTTTAAGACAAAAATATTAAATAGTTATTATAAAATATCAGATTTTTTTTAATAATAAATAGTAACAAATATATTATTTTACATATAGATAATTATTTACATATACATATCATTTAATCTTTTTATGTGAATTACATTTATGCAAGAATATTACACGGAACAAAATATTATAAAAAAAAGATTGTTATAAGTTAATCTATTTTATCAAACTATTTTTATAATTAATCTAATTATTTCTATAATTAATAAATAGCATATTTGACTAATAATCAGTAAAAATTGATAATAAATATTAATCAAAAACAAGATTGAGATTAGATAAAAAAATCATTTGAAAAAAGATATCACATGATAGGAATAACTTTTAGAAGATAAAAAAACAATAATGTGATTGTAATACTAAAAAGTCTCCTATTTCCTTTCCACTTTCCTTCTTATTTTATGATTCTTTTAACAATATTGTAATTTAATTATGACTCTTTAGATAAAACATTTGTAATAAACAATTATTTTATTTAATGTATACTCTTTGAATAATAATATACTCTTTGAAAATGTTTTATATTTTTAGAATTCCATATAACTTACTTGTAATACTTAATTGATGAAAACCAGGAGATGCTGCATCTTCCTCGCAATGAGACATTGTAAAAAATTTATTAGGATTTAAAGGGATTACTTTAAAGAATTCATAATTCTTTCATTGAGTTACTTTCTTGCAATATCTGCAATATACAGAACCATATGTATAGGTTAACTTTTGAAATTACTTATAATATTCATATTGCAGTTATATAAGATGTGCTACATATATCCATATAATAAGAATAACCAATGGATAATAATCAACAATAATCTCATAACAAAAGAATGAGAAAATTATTTAAAAAGAAATGTAAAAAATATCTCTGCATTAGTTTAAGGAATAATATAATCAGCGATGTAATTAAATAATACATCCGATTCAGTTCAATTGTGTTCTATTGAATCTATTAAATGCGAGTAGACAAGAGCAAAGAATATTTTTAAAAAGAATATTTTTAAAAATTCGTAGAATTTCTCAGTCACTGTGCGATCTATATGTAACAATGACTTTTTATTAAATATTATCTACGATTCGTTACTTAGCCAAATGTATGTAAATACAAAAAAGAAATTATCGTAAAGATTCACTGATCTATAATCTCACGGTGATCGAGGTGCTGTCACTCGACAAGATGCAAACTCATCTGTATGATTAAAGGGATAAATAATTGGTGACACTAGAAAATACAAACCAAAATTGATGTCTCCGATAGCTCACGATATCCCCAATAACGATCTGCCATCCATTACTTGCGCAATTAACAATCTTATCACGGTAAGAATAAGTGGAAATATTCGGGATTTGCGTTATCATCAAACTTCACTATCAGTCGGTCACCATCTTTCCATACGTCAAACGTAGAGTCTCTTTATGTGTCGTATGCACGAAAGCGCGATAAGCGACTGTGCATCACTGAATCACTGTTGCCAACAATTAATTTTTCATTTTCCTGTATGCTTTAATCCCGATCTACAATAGGTGATTTAAGCCTTAAGTCATAAAACATGGACGAATCATAGTCGAAGAATAGAAGAATAATCGACTATGATTGATCAATTTCTTATGACCTAAAGCTTAAATCACCTATTGTAGACCAGAATTTACTAAAGCCGATACTCATAATTAGTTTTATTATTATTATAGATTATTATTGTTATTATATTATTACATTATTACCTAGATTATTTTTTTCGATTATATTTGTATGCATTTAACAGATAAAAATTTATATTAACTTTCTTGAACTATTAATCTTCTTTATTACTCTATTTTCAATGGAAACACTACTTAAAATTTGAAACACTACTTAAATTTTCTACACCAAAATAAAATCAAATGTAACACTTCAATGAGAGACTAGACTATTGTTTTCATAGATTTAGCTTTTATAATTATACCTAGGCTGTATTCAGCAGAAAAAGCAGATCAGTGAACGTTCAGTGATTCTTTATTATGATTGGTTTCTACATATGTTTGGTTCTACTTATATTCAACGAAGATCTAAAGGCAAGGACCAATCATATTGAAAAATCACTGAGCGTTCACTGATCTGCTCTTTCTGCTGAACGCAGTCATATATTTTGTTCTTAAAGTGAAACAAATATATATTTAATGTCTGGCGAAAGTGAGACAAAAAATTTTAGTATAGTTTAGTGTAGTGACAAAAGTAAGCCTCATATAGCTATGCTGTAATTTGTTTATGTATGTCTTCCTTTCGTGTCTGTTGTCATTGAATACATTTGGAAAAATATATAATTCAAATTGGGTTATATCTATGTTCAATTATCTGTAACGATTCCTTCCGATCTTCCGATTTCAAATTATGATGTGAGTATTATATGATAATATTTTAGCCTCAAAATATTTTTCACTATCCAAATATTTTCATAGTAAAATTCTATATTCTTTAGATATTGTTATGTTTTACTCAGACTTTTTATGTTTTATTTATTATACTATTTGACATTTGATATTTAGTTCTTTTGTTATTTTCAGATAAAAGATACTAGTCTATGGAAGAATGAAAACTTGTATATCAATTAGAGAATTTCTATTTCTGGGATAAGTGTTATTACTCTAATGCAAAATAATGAATAATCTTTCTGGACAATTCCGCAAGACAACATGGGATCCTATTCTCATAATTTCCCAAATAATTGCTGTGCAAACTATTTTGTATCTCTGCCTTGGACTCTGGATTTGGATTGTTGCATCATTATTGGGTTGGACAAAATCATTAGATTATGTCTTTCAATATAAAGAGATACATGTTCGTGATTTTGGAGGACAATTAGTTATCGTTATGTTTGTTTTAAATGCACTTGTAGGTGCATTTACATTATGGTGGCTAGTGCAAAGAACAAAATTATGCATGGATTTTGCATGTACAGCCCATTGGATTCATCTGATTTGTTGTTGGGTGTACAATGGAACTTATCCGACATCTTTTAGCTGGTGGTGTTTAAATCTTGTATCATTAAGTATAATGTGTGTCTGCGGAGAATTTCTATGTATGAGAACAGAACTGCAAGCGATACCTTTAAGTATGAACAGTCAAAAAACAGCCTTATGAGATGAAAATGCAGATAATATTTGTAAGATAAAAATCATAAAATTTAAATATTCAATAAATATATATACTATCGTTAATGTTAAATTTTCTGTTATAATAAAAATAAAAAGTTTGTTAAGACTTATTTAAATTTTTAATTTTTAATGTATTTACGAGATTTCTTTCATAGATAAATGCTATTTTAAAAATTAATATGAATACATATTTAAATATTTACTGCATACACTTGTAAAAAAAAGAACTATATATTTACTGCTTTTGATTAACTTGCATGTAATAAATTTAGATAAAAAAGAATAAATATATTGTTTGGAAGGAATATATTGATTTAATGGATTTTAACATTCAAGATTTAAATCCCTAAAATATGAAGTGTCTGTGATTCAATGTATTACAATCTTAAAAAAAGCAAAATGTACACAGAATTATTTATAGTAAATTTTATTCAAAATTGCAGAATTAAAATATTGATTGTAATCTCTATAATTAAGAAACTTTGAATTTTACATTAAGCATATTTATACACATATATACATATAATTATATTAGACAAAAAATTTATAAAGAGTTAATGAATACAAATAAATTATAATTTTACTATTAAACATTATTTACTTAGATATAATTAAATAGTATTATATCAGTTTTATATATTTATTGCAACAAATGTTACATTCTAAAGTATACTTATAAATTAATAATTAATACAACTACTTGTACAGTGATCATTTAATGATGATTCTCCTTGTAAAAACGCAGACCACAGTAACCACAAGTATGATTGCCTGGTTTATCCTATCAAGAGAAAAGAAAATGTAAATCTATTTTCTAGAAATCAAATTTGTTTTATTATAATCTACTTATTTAAAATGTATAAATATAATTATTAGTGAATCATAGAGAATTTAATAAATATACTTGATATACATGCACACACTATATAATAATATGTATATTAATACATTTACTGAATTATATATTTTGATTATATATATGTACACATTAACTCTTACCAGATTTATGTAAACTTTAGGATGTCCAAGTGGGCCTCCACCACCATTACAAGCTACTATTCTATCTTTCTTTGGAGATGGTGGTACTTCGTCTATCAATTTGATTGCCCAATTTTTATTAACTTCCTTTGGTCTGTTTAAAAATCTTACTAATCGGTAATCATCTTTTTCAAATATCTAATAAAATAGATATAATTGGCTCACAGATAAACCAAAAATAATTTTTTTATTAAAGAAATTATAAAGAATAAAGAAATTAATTTTTTAATAATAAAAACAAGTCTGATTTATTTATATATACAATTATATCCTAAAAAGAAAAACTATTTTTTGTAATCAATAAATAAATTATAAGGTACCGTTATAAATTATACATCAGAGATAAAGAGTCTGTGTGAATTCTTTTATTTAAATAAATAGTATAATTTACAATACTATATATAAAAAAACATTGTAATAAATGTCTTACCTGCCCAGTGTGAGTAACTTGAGTGTCACCTTCGTCTACGGTTGCATATGTACGTTGATTTATCGCATTTACTAGAGACACTTCTCTTTTGTACAATTTGTTCAAAGAAGCATATAATCCATTAATTTTTTTGGTTGCCATAATTGATATATATTAATAATTATTAGTGGTTATTTTTCACATTCGTTAAATGATTTCGTAACCTTTTAAGAATCCAGGAAAACAATCTCTTATGATAGTAGTGTTGCAAGATTTGTGAGATAAATTCCATTCCTTTGTGCGCATGTGTGAATTTTTCATTAGGTTTGTCGCGTCGCTTGAATTCCCCAGAATTTTTTTTTTACATCTCAAACAAGAGGTTTGTTCTTTTCCTCTGCACTGGGACTGCACTGGCCTAGGATTCTGTACAATGTCCACCGACAACTCTCGGTGTTGTTAATTAACGATAGCCAATGGCAAGGACGATCTTGGAAAAAAGCGCGGCTGTCATTGGCTATCGTTAGTTAACGATAGTTGTCGGTAAGCGAATACAGAACCGGTCCTGGAACTGGTGAGGACAGCATGGGTTTGTTCTTTTAGTTGAACTGGCTGCACTAGTTTAAACTTAAAGCCAGCAGCACACGATGCTTTTTCTCCTGCTGGTTTGCTAGCTGAATTTGCGTGCTTGCTGAGCTCTTGTCTTTGATTGGTATATTCTTTTAGATCTAAAAAAATCCAGCTAGCAAACCAGCAGAAAAAAAGCATTGTGTGCCGCTGGCTTTAGTCCCGGTCTACAATAGATGATTTAAGCTTTAAACCATAAGAAATTGACCAATCATAGTTAATTATTCGCCTATTCTTCGATTCGTCCATTTCTTATGGCTTAAGACTTAAATCACCTATTGTAAACCGGAACTTATCGTTAGGCTTGTTCTTTTTAGCTGAACTGGTTGTACTATATATAGTTCACAGTTTATTTTTCTTTCTTACAGTAGAAAAAGAAAGATAGTGCAGCCAATTCAGCTAAGAACATGGGTTAAGCAGTGCAATGAACTATTGCACTGAGTATCGCTGCATTGTGGAAAAGAACAACGGTATCTGATGTCATTTCCGCATAAAGAACGTTTCAGTGTACACTTCTTGAACTAGTGCAGCCAGTGCAGAGGAAAAGAACAAACCTAAGATTGCTATATAAGCAACTTTTCGATCATCTTATATTACTGTATAAATTATATAAATCAATTTTTTTATTTGTGATCAGTTTACGAACAAAGAAATATAAACGAAATACATAGGCTGCGTTCCGATATTCATTATCAGTAAAAATGAAAATATATAGTTCAGGTCACGTATATTATAGATTTTCAGTACTGACAATGAATATCGGAATGCAGTCTTAATTTAAATCGATATTCATTGTCCGTTCTTATATTGACTTCAAATGCGAAGAACAATTTATACAACGTTGGCTGCGTTTCGAAATTCACTGCCAGTACTGAAAATCTATAATATACGTGACCTAAACTATATATTTTTAGTATGGCAGTGAATTTTGAAACGCAGCCATTTGCGGTCATGCTTCATCAATCTAGTGACTTTAGCCCGCACGCTCTAATAGTATTGCGTATCTTTTCTTGCATTCATTTTTTGCTTGACTCTGCTTCGATCTGTTTGTTTTTGCCAAGCTTCTGTGATCCCCCCATCGTGATCAATTGGTGAGTTATAAATGAAGTAGGAGTTATATATCGATTTGTATTCTGGAAAATTTTTTTATGCTAACACTAATGAATTATAGCATACACGAACATTGTATTTTGCTGGGAAGTCTATTGCATGTATTTTTGAGAATACAATGGTGATGGAAGAACAAGTATCGGATATGGAGCTAGCCTCAGAAAGTATACCGGTTCCTCAAGTGCAGGAACCGATAGTCGATACTATTAAGCGGACCAACAAATCAGGCATTTCACGTGGTAAGCCAAGGCTAAGAAAAAAAGCATTGCATGCCTCCATACTGAAGCAAATGGAATTCTACTTCAGCGATGCGAACTTGAGCAAAGATCGTTATTTGTCTGGACTCTTAAAAGAAAGTCCTTGTAAGTATGCATTGTATTTTTACTCCAAGATTAATTATTAAATTTTATTGAACACATATAAAAAAAATATAGATTTCTAAAATACAGATTATTATTTATTCTTTATTTAATTTTCAACTCTGTAATTTTTAATCTCATAAATAAGATGTGGTGCGTATGTGTATATGTGTGTGTATATATATGTATGGTATATGTGTGTATATGTGTGTGGTATATGTATGTATACTATAAATATACCTAACTATATCTTATAAATATATAATACCTGAAACTATAGATAGTCTATCATTCTTACTGAGCCATGTATTATTCCAACTTTATTTAATATATGTGATAGTAGTTCTAGTGGTAGTTTCTATTATCTTTAAACAGAATATCTATTTCTTAGAAAATTCTAGAAAATATGAAACTTTCAGGGAAAATTTTCTTTTTATTTTTGAAAATCAGATTAATAATAATTGTAATAAATGGAAATTTATTACAATTTAAGAAATTTTTTGAAATTTGGTCTTAAATTTTGTTCCTCAAAAAATTTTTGATAACTTTACCTTTATAATATATAATTATTTTTTACTGTTGTTTTTCAGATATAAATCTTGAAGTATTCACAAGATGTAATAAGTTACGTGAACTAACTACAGACATAAATAGGATAGCTAAGGCTCTAGAAGGATCGACCATATTAAAAGTATCCGAGGATGGTACAAAGGTCTCTCGAATAACACCAATTGAAGGAAAGGAAAATGTTGATGAGTGCACAGTATATGTACAAAATCTACCTCCAGATGCTGATCATGACTGGTTGATATCGATTTTCTCTAAATTTGGACCAGTAGACTACGTCTCGATTCCACGTTATAAGAGTAATAGAAAAATAAAAGGATTTGCATTTGTGGAATTTGATTTGCCAAGTAGTGCTCAAGAATGCATTAAGGTAAGAATAGTGTTTTTTGACAATTATCAAATTATTATGTCATTATGGGAGATGATAATTATAACTTCCATGATTTAATACTGTATTACAACTTAATATTTTATTTTACAGATGTTCCGAAAAAAGGGATGTGTTTTACCATCATATACATCTCCTAATGAGGTATTAAGTATAACCACATTTGAGGAACCTAAAAAAATTATTGGATATGTTATAGAATCTAAGAAAAAAACGAAAAATAATGACACATTAGAAACATCCAATAAAGAAATAGAAAATGAAAATAACATCCGCGAAGTGAATACAGATGATAATAGTAAACAAAATTTTAAAAAAAGAAAATATTCTTCAGAAAAATCATTCGTTACAGATGAAAATGTTATCAACATTAAAATCAAGAAGAAAAAAAGAGAAGAATCGGAAGACAAAGATAATGATAAGACTTGTGATAATGAAACAGATGCAGCAGATAACAATGATAGACAAAATACAAAAAAAAGAAACATAATTCAAGAAAAATGTTTGTTAGCAGAACGAAAACAATAATAAAATCAAAGAAAAAAATAAAAAACGTTTTAGAATACAAAAATTATAAACAGATTACCAGATCAACAAAATGAAGAAGGAAAGCCATCAAAAAAAGAATCTGAAAACAAAGATAATATTTGTGATAATGAAACAGATTACAATGATAAACAAAATACAAAAAAAAGAAAGCATAGTTCAGAAAAATTGTTTCTTGCAGATGAAAGCAACATTAAATCCAAGAAAAAGAGAAAAACTATAGATCAAAGCATAACAGATCAGCATAATGAAAAAGAGACGGTGTCAAAAGAAGAATTTGAAGATAATATTTATAATGAAATAGATACAACAGATAATGGTCAACAAAATCTAAAGAAAAGAAAACTTACTTCAGAAAAATTATGTATTATAGACGAAAAGGATACCAAAGTCAGCATTACTGGAAACAATACAGAAAATCAAGAAATTCCAACTAAAAATCGCAATAAAATCACAGAAAAAAAGAAGAGAATACTTACGATAAATGATACGATTACTGCGGAAGATACACATGGAGAAGTAGTAAAAAAAGACTGCCAAGAACTAGTGACAAAATATGATAGCAATGAGACCAACAAAGCAAATGCTTCAATTGAAAAACATTCCACAAGAGATTTCAGCACGGCTAATAGCGATATTGAGGAAGTTAGTATTGATGAAAGAAAGAAGAAAAAGAATCGGAAAAAGAGAAGTAAAATTCAGGACAATGATATCTGTAGTATGATAGGATTGCAAATAATGGCAAAGACAGATTGGAAACGTCTTAGAAATAGATACTTAGATTTGCAACGAAGTAAAATGTCACAATTGAAATCGCATCTGAGAAAAACTGAGATGGAAAGAGACGGAATTATGACAAAAAAAGGATGGCATTGTGATAAATTAAATCAAGAAAATGATAATGAAAAGCTTGATGAGGAAGAAAAGCCTTATGGACGTGTTAATTATGCTCCAGGAATTATAGTGAAAATCGAAATGAATGAGCCTTGCATAGATATACAGGGTTTCAAGGTACATATCAGCTTTAATACAGAAAGAATTTAATGCATTAAACATTGTATCTTTTTAACAAAAAATTTTATTAATGCTATATGTACTATATATAAATAATATTTCAGATGGAATTAAAGAATCATAGTTCTGTGAAATATATAGATATAACACCCAATTCTTGTGAAGCTTTTGTGAGATGCGATACAGCAGAAGCTGCGCAATCATTCGCGCAGAAGAGCTATGAAGGAAGACGTTTGACTGTTTTAGAAGGTAAATCTTTCATATCGCAAATGATGTTTATTTTCGTTTCTTTATGTAATTTTATATTTTATCGTTGTTTATATAACTCTATATTTCGTTACTGTTTTTACAGGTGATGAGGAGACATCATATTGGGATAAAATATCGCGAGATAGGCTGGAGAAAATGGGTAAAAAGAAAAGAGTTAAGCAAAGAGGACGGAACAAACTATTGAAACGAGCAGAGAAAGAACTTGGAAAATGTATAAAATTTGATCAAGATTAATTTAAAGTATTATCTAATTTTGTAAAATTGTTGCATCCATATATTGTGTTGTATGATAGCTGTTCATATGTGTATACCTATATATACATATATACCACTAATATACCAACTGCTATTGATATATAATCGTAATTATTATAAAGAGAATTTGACAAAATGAATTGAATAAATTAAAATAATTAAATTATATATTTCTACGCTCAAATTTTTCGTTCTTTTTCTCTCCATTGTTTATGTATATGTCTATCTCATTTTAAATAGATATAAAAAATGCGTGTTACAATACATGTAATATTAACTTAATAGAGTTGATCTTTATTTCTTTCCTTTTTATATTTTTAATCAATAGAATAAATATGTAAATAATTTGTTGTTTGCGATGCTTTATAATATAAATATATGTTTTGTAACATATTATGAAATACATATTTACAATCATCAATAGTTTTACTTATGCAAAATTCAGATGACACTCGATGTTCAATCAAATATTCTCGGTCAATTTTCTGATGCTTAGTCCATTGAAAAAATTTCTAAGTATCTGTTGATATAAACATATAATTAAGAATATAGATAAGAAACAGAACATTCTTAAAAATTTATCCTTATAATTTATATAGTTTATAAATTTTTAATTATTCAAATTTTCTTAATATACTTCAAAACTTTTCATATAAAATGGTTTTATACAAATTCTTCAATTCCTTTCAATGTCTTCCGTCGACTAATTGCATGATATAAAAAATTAAAATTATTCGGATGATTATCAAATATATTTTTCAACTTTTCTTAAGGAATTAACAGTTTAAAATAAAAATGCAGAAATTTACAAAAAATTATTTTGTCATTTATATGTTTTATTTTTATGTACATATATCTTAAAATACATATGTGTATTTTTAAAATATACCTTGTCCTAGAATCTACCATCTTCCTCTGCCACTTCCTCCTCCACGACCTCCACCTGAACGATTAAATCCTCCGCGACCTCTGAATCCTCCACTGCTGCCACCTCTATTACCAAAACCTCCTCTCCCAAAAGAACTTCTTCCTCCTCTGCCACCACCACCTCCTCTGCCAGCACCTCGTTTTGTAACTTTACCAGCACCACCTCTTTTTTCTCCAGGAGGTTTTGGTAAAAATCTCTGAAGAGGCAGCAGTTTTGATGGGTCAATGTACAACTATAATCAAGAAACAATAATTAATGTTTGTATGCAAAAATCATGTACAATGTTTTAATTATACTATTACAATACCTGAGCATCTTTTTGAAAGCTGCCAGCCTTTATATTTTCAGATAACTTAACAGAGACATAATAGTCTCGAATATTACCAAATATCTCATCTATTTTCCCAATCTGTTGCTTATTTTCTGTATAAATTGGTGCATTAAAAAAAGGGACTTGTTCAATATCAACTTTGAGAATTAAATCATTTTCTACTGTCCATGTAAAATGTCCCAAAGATGTTACTTCTTCTGGCGGTCCCTGATCATAGCTATGGTAGATAAAAAAATCCATATTTAATATCTTAGAATTTAAGGTACGCGTACAATGGAAAAAAAGGAACAAGAATATTAAATTTGGAAATAAAAATTCGAAATAAAGATTAAATGTAATACACAATGTACACAAATAAATATAAGATACAGTTACATTTTATACTTACTTATGTCCATTGTGTATTATGTTTAATTTTGATTCTGAATTTTCGTTTCCAAAATTTAGTATTTATTTTTATTTCTAATATTTTCTCCATTGTGCACAGGGCGTTTATTTGTAATCTAATTTAAACCAAAACTAAACAAATCATTGATTGAATTTACACATTCTTATGACGATTATTATTGATAAAATTACCCTCTGCCTCTATCGAAGCCACCAGGACGACCCCTGTTAAATCCTCCGCCACCTCGGCCACCTTTAAAACCGCCTCCTCTGCCACTTCCTCTGCCACCACGTGCGCGAAAAGACATAACCCTCTACCAATTCTGACTCTATATCAACAATCTTTAGTTATCATATTAATTATAAACATATTTCGTAATACTCGTATAACTCTCTACTTACCTTGTTTCTATCTACTTTAATTAAAGGTAAAAACACGTAATTCCTCATACATGTACCGCTTGTATCATCAAATATATTACAACTACGGGTGCTATTATATACGTTGTACGACAAATTTTTCAGACGTACTGATTGGCTGCAGAATAGAGAAATTTTCGAGTTTCTAGAAACTTTCTATCCTGCAATCAATCAAGAAAAATTTGTCGTACGACAAATGTAATATCAGCCCACGCCAATAAATGAACCACAAAACATATATTAAAATGAAATAAAACAAGGGACAATATTATAGTCCGTTTTTATATTTAAGAGGGAGCATCCCAACGCGCACATTTTCAATCGAACACACCACATCGCTGCCTAGGAATTTTTTAATCAATGGATTTGTTTTTTATTCTCGCACTAGAGCTGCACTAGAACTGAACTGGGGGTCAATCATGTAACTTTACATGAAATTTTTCACTTTTCACTTTTTACTTTTTATTTTTCACATCTTGACATTTCACGTGAAACTTGTCACGTACAGCGATTATGTATGTAGCTTGGATGCGTGGAAAGTGAAATCATAAACATAATTTCATAGGTTTTATAGGTTTTATAATGAAAATTATTTTATTAGTACAGTATTATATACATCTTTTAATAACCAATTGTATATATTACGTACATTTAATCCACAGTCCTAATCTTCTTTAATTCCAAAGCATATTTATTAATTCCCTAGATTTCCGCCTTTCCGCCACCAAAATACATGGCGAAAAAGTTCACGTGAAAAATTTCACATTTTCACGTTTGAGAGAGTTACATGATCCCGTAAAATCGTACATGATCGTAAGTTTACGTGAAACTTTTCACTTTTCACGTTTCCGCCCTAGGGGAAAAGTTGTACATGATCGACTCTCTGAACTAAACTAGTGCAAGTCAGAACTGATGAGTGTAAGCGTGCAGATAGGGAATAAAAAACGATTTAGTGCAAGAAAGAAATGGCGTCCGATATTATTTGTATGAAAATATTAGGTTCGTCTTCTAATGAAACGTAAAGCGCATATATGCGCATTTTGTTATAGTATATGTGACATGAACTATAGATAAATATGCGCATATGCGCTTTAGGAAATCCAACCCATAATAGGAACTCTAGGAATGTCAAAATTAAATGTATGTGCTATTATGGTCAGAGACAAAAATATGAGAAGGAACACGCAATACGGATAATCCTAGTATGGATTGATATGGGCACTCCGCGAAAAAAATGTGTGATCGTGCGAGCCATGATTTCAGTTAGATCCAATTTCATATAACTAGAATGTATTTTGAAAATTTGTGGGAATTAAAAAATGAATATATTCTGCATAGAAAACATAAAACACTTTTATACGATTCATAAAAAATAAAAATTTGATAAAATAAAAATTAGAATAATTA